TTGAGCTTCAAAGTACCTTGATGTAATCTTCAACATGTTTCATTCTCAGCTCAATTGGCTCTATCAGATCAGCATACTGCCAAAGGAAGACAAATACGTAAGCACTGCATAAAAGGATAAGATGGAAGGAAGAGAACAAAAAGTCACAAATGGAGTTGAACATCGAAACTTAACATTGATAGAGTAAGAGGATTGGACTCATCTGAAAACGTAAGAGAATATAATACTTCAAACTCAAAAACCGTCCTAATCGGAAAAATCAAGTACGGCTGCATGTCTGACACTTGCTTATTCCATGCATTTTCTTCACAAGGAGTTGTAGCTTATTCAATGAACAAATTATTGAAATACTTTTGTTTCTTAACTGGCAATATCATTTAAGAAAATTGAAGATGGTATCAAGAGGATAACTTGGTACTGCAGCCAGTAGCATCTTTTCGTATTTACTTCAAAAGTATCATAAGTTGATAAGTAGTTTCATCTGGTACAAGATCCCTGCTATACCCAAAATAACTGGCAAAAGTCTAAATACATAAGAAGAATGCCCAGAACTGAAATGGGGCTCACCAAAGGAGGAGGGAGATGATACTCGTTTCCCAACAACAAGAAAACAATTCAAGGACTACAAAATTCCAAAGAGAAAAAGAGAAATACAACTTGGCATGATATGCAATAGATCTTCGACTAACACAATGGAGTACGAGATCAAAATGTGATAAACTGGAAACATACTGCATTCACAGTGGAAGTAATGTCGAGTCTACTTACACCACACTTTACTGTGGGAAATTAAAAAACGCATCAAGAAAACAGAGCCAATGAGAATGAGCATAGTGAGTTACACATGATAAACATATATGTCCCTATCCTGACATAGCATGTGAAACCCCATAAGAGAAGGTACAACAGTTGCCTCAGTAGCTTATTAGAACTTTTAGTATTATTATCATTAATTAGAACTCAGAAGTCATCAAGACTAATCCTTTTTCTTTATGTATGGAAATTTTCCTCGTATACGTCAAATTCTGTATATCCATAGAATGCATGAACTGACCATGAAATTTTAAAATCCAGAAAATACAATAAACCAAAAAGGTGGAAGAAACCTCCCGAGATGGACATCAGGACATGAGCCGACTATAATCTTATCTATTTTGAGTCATATTTCCAAGTTAAAATTTTTAGAGATGAAGAATCTCCAATCTTCTTTAGATTCCCAAATAGCCAAGTAATCTATTTTCATATATCTTACATCATGCTCTATCCAAAATTCCCCAATCGATTTGTGAAATTTTCCAGAACCACACATAAAAGACCACTCTCCAATTTTCGTCAAAGAATTTTACGCTATCTATACGTGTTAGATTTGCAAAAGGGGGAAAATAAAGAATAAATAAAAGATGTCATTTTTCATTCTCTTCTGCAATCCAGCCCACTGTTTTGCTTTCTCAAGTTTATGTAGTCTCCAGCAGGCCCATTATGCTTCAATTTGTACCGTAAAAGAAGTTGTACAAGCAATTCAAAGCTTCCATATTTCAATTTCAACAAACTAAATACAGAGTATATACATGATAATTACCTGTTTCTTAGTCAACATTGGACCATCGCAAACACCAACAACAATTCGATTCTTCGCCAATTCAGCAGCCGACTGCCAGAAAAAAAAAACATCACTTATTAGTAATAAAGATTGTTTCTTTTGATGAATGAGATTATTAAAGGGGAAAAGGGTATCGGAAAAACCTTAAGAAAAAGTCGGTGACCTTCGTGTAAACGATCAAAAGTACCTCCAAGAACGACGGAAGTGTAGGAATTAGGTGGGGATAAGGTGGACTTGGGGTTTGATTCCTCCATTACTGCCATCTGCTTCTTCCGATGATGGCTGACTCGCCTGTATTTATATTTATCAGAAAAGGGACTAAAATAGAACTATTAAAAATGGTATAAAATTACCCTCCATCCGCCTATTAGTCTTAAAATATCCTTGTTGTCTACCTTTAGGTCCTATATTGACCTTTATTTTTAACGGTCCCAATTTAAACCCAATTAATAAATTCATTAATGGCGTGATGATTTTCTATTGGCCAGCTTTAAATAATCTAAACTAATTGAAAACCTACTTATTCTCAAATTAGACCCAAATAAAATCTACCCGCCCCAAGTTCATTAAACCCATCTTCCTCACAGGCTTTTCTGAATTGGATCCTGACCTTGAGTTTGAACATCTAAAGAGATATTTGATAAGAGATATGCATAACTTGATCATTTTGTGAAGGTTACTGTTATTAGACATGGTGATGATACACACATTGGTTGATCATAAAAAGGTTGAAACAAGTTTTGAGTTCTTTCATTTTCTTTTTATGCTAGTCTGGAGGAACTCTAATTTATGGTAGACTCTGTATATGCTGTGAAATGGGAGTTTCGGTTTTAGCTTTTTCAGATAACAATATTTTTTATATAGTTTTGTTGTTTACCTCTAACTATTTAATTAAGCACATTGCTCAGATCTTAGTTACTTGTTTTGGAAGTCTAAGAAAGTGGTATGTATTCTGTATTTTTGGGCAACGATTGCATAAATAAACAAAAAATCAAATTCAATCAATGACACGAAATTCTCATCACCATTGCCCACTTATATTTGATGAGAATGAAACCAAATCTTTTGGATTACTTTATTTTGGATTCATTAGATAGATTCTACTCAAAAATTTGCTCAAAAAATATCATAATCTCCTTTATGTAAATTATCTAGGTTTTATTTCTTTTTCAAAGAATGTAGGTGGGATGAAAATAAGAAAAAGAAAAGGTTGTAGCTTTTATGCTCTGTGATTTGCCATTTTGCTGTGAGGAAGACGATGATAAAAGATGGGTTAAATGAATTTGGGGCGAGTCTAATTTGGGAATGGGTGGGTTTTTAAATTAATTTAGGTTATTTAAAATCTGACCAATAGAAAATTGTCACGTCATTAATGAATTTATTAATTGGGTTTAAATTGGGACCGTTAAAACTAAAGGGTAATATAGGACTTAAAGGTAGACAGCAAGGGTATTTTAGGGCTAATAGATGGATGGAGGGTAATTTTGTACAATTTCTAATAGTTCAAGGGTATTTTAGGCCCTTTTCCGTATATTTATTTACTAGATATTGTGTGCCCGTGCAAAGCACGGACCTGTGTCCTATTTCGTTTAGCCGTTAGAATTTCTCATGAAGATTATTCTTCAGTAAAAATCACTTCTGAAACTAAAGTAACAAATCAAATGAACCATGCATATGAGTTGACATAATGCATCTAGCTAAGAAGCAAACACGGACACTTTACAACATAACTAAGAGTTTGAGACACTGGGAGTAGGGGTGTGCATTCGGTTTTTCGGTTTGATTTTACACTATTCGGTTTGAATTTTTGGTTTTTGATTTTGTAAAAGTGTAACCCAATCCGATCCAAAATAAATTTGGTTTGGTTTGATTTTCCTCTATTCGGTTCGGCTTTTTTCGGTTTGGTTATTCGGTTATGTCAATAATTAATAACATATATAACCAAAGTAATAATATTTAATCCCTTAAATATTCTTTCTAATATAAATCATAAGTAAAACTTAAAACACAATACTTTTAAGTATACCTATTATAGATGTAATTCAAACATAAAATATAAACGTAATCACCATGAAAGGCAATAACCAAAAAGGGACAAAAGTGGTTAACTCCAACTTAAACGAATAGTGCACACCCCTACTGGGGAGTAGAAGTATAAAATTAAATCTAAGTGTCTTATAGATTTAACATTTCCAGTTCATTTAATACAAACTTGCTTCTAAAATATTTCTTTTTCTAGCAGCAAGGTGTTTTTGCTTGACAAAGAAGCATACACCTCTTTAAATGGCCTTCCTGGAGCAACACTTCATAGCGTAACTCCAAACTATAATTTTTGCAAAAAGGGATTCTAGATTTGCATTTGACAGCATTCCGGTTGTACTATCCAAGACCGCCACATTCCAAATGTTCATATTGACTATCAATCTTCTAGAAAGATTTAACTCAAGATCTTGAGGTCTTAGACCCTTCTTTGTATCAACCAATTTTTTAGCACTTACTTATGTTTCATGGCCTACTTTCTTCTGTAGTACAATGCTGATAATCGCCTGGAGAACAGTCCATGGCATGGAGAATTTGTTTGATTCTCCATACTTCAAACTCCGATCAAAGAGACGGGAGATGATTAACTGTCCACTCCGTCTTGGCCAAATTCCAATTAAACCTAAGCTTATCCGAATATCAAACCTCAACTATTTTATACAAAACACGACACTAAAGGACTGCACTGATACCTAACTTAGCACTTGTAAATCTCAATTATATAAAGGAATCAATCATCAGCCAGAGACGTAAGATAAAACCAGAAACATAAGATAAAATGAGGGCTATCCTAAAGTAAAGACATATAAAAGCTACTAAACAAATAATTTTAAGGCAAATTGGCCAATAAAGTAAATTAAACAGCTAGCAAAAGAAAATTATCTACTTATGAGTAAATGGAAAAAATATGCAGAATAAACTTATATACTCAGTCAGTCTAAAGCCTCTATTCATACATGAATAAAAATGTATAATCTTCATATGATAGAAAACAAAAAACTAAAAGGTATTGCACCAGTCTGAAACGAAGGAGAAATTTTCACAGGTAATTACTTATGTGTAATTTGAAAATTGATTAGCTTGGTCTTAAAATCTAATACATCTGGAAATTAAAACAAAACAATGGCAACAGATTGAGCACACAATTATTTTGATCTCTGACATGCTTGTTGATTATTATTTATAATTAGAGGATGTTGATTGAGCAAACATCAGGAAATATGGGGATCAGTATAGCATTTATGACAGCAATGAAAGGCTACAAAATGGTTTTGAAAATGCCTTCGTACACGAGCATAGAGAGGAAAGGGAAAATGAGAGCATTTAGAGCCGATTTAATCCTCATCGATCCAACCTAGGAATGACAGGCATTGTTAAGAAGGCTTATGAACTTTTGGAATCTACACCTAATGCTTTCATGCTTCAACAATTCTACAACCCTGCAAACACTCAGGTAATTTTAAGAAACCTAACTTAATTAATGTATTCTCTGTTTTACTACAGAATTCTCAATTGCTTCATATCGAAAGCAGGATCATTTTGACACAACATGCCCTGAAATATGGGAAGAAACTCTAGGTAATATTGACATATTTTTCATGGGAATACTGATGTTGGACAACATCTTAAATCCAAAAATCCTAATGTCAAGTTAAATATATACTCTAATGTAATACTCTTGATTCCTCGAAACAGAATCGGTAAACTTCCAAGATAATCCCATGTCAAGAAATTGAGAACAATCCTATGTCAAAAATAGTTAACGTTGTGCTTATATGGATTCGAGCCAACTGAAAGTAATATACTGAATGGTGGAAAACCAGGTCATCATCAGATAACGGGAAAAGGGGTTGGATTCAAGCCAGATATCCTTGGCATGGATCTAATGGAGGAACATCGACACTGGAAAAGTAGTGAAGGATTTCCTCGCTAAATATAACCAAAGTTACACAATCCCTTGGAAACGAAGTTTGTGATTAAGTTATAATAGATCTAATAAGTGAATTTCCCGCCGAAGAATCAAGGATTGCCTCAACTAACAACCACGTATCAAGTGTAATTCCACAAGTGGGGTGATCCGAAGATGGTGGTGCAAGGATTATCGATTTTTCTTCATGGAAAAAACTTAGGGTTGAGGAATCACTAAATAGCAGAAGTTGACACATATCAACAGTTAGTAGAAGAACTTTCTCCAAGACAGGACTAATTCTGTAATTAGTTTGTAACAAAAGATAATACTAACAAAACGCCATTAGGGTCAGCGATTTTCCAAAGCAAAATACATGAGAAAGTTAATAAGTAGAGGCACCAAACAATAATCATCCAAATCAGTAGTTGGAGTATCAGTCTGTACATATGTATGTGAAGGTCACATTAACATACTCATGTAAGAATCTATTAAAAATTTACCCACAAAACAAGTGCAATAAGAGAAATTAATTGGAGAAAACAATTACCGCGAAAGAAGTAGACACCTGATTACAAGTGAAGATGGAGTATGAGAAGGAAACTGAGAGCTTGAGTATCAGAAGAACGAAGAAATCGGCAAAGTAGTATCGCAGATGCAGCACACGCCGGTCTTTTGAATGGGAAAAAAACGTGAAATGCCTAAAATACCCCGGACGATCAAAGTCACATTGACCGCAATACCCTTGGCCGTCTGAAGAAACTCATACTTATTTAAAAGGCCAAACACATATGCAGACCCTTGAACTTGTCCCTAAATTTTATTTTGGCACTCCAACTCAACCTTGTTCCATTTTAACCCTTCAACTCCAATTTTTATGTTCCATTTTGGCACTTCTTTCCAAAGAACCAACAAAGTGAGATGTGTGTACTTCACATGCCATTATTGTGTTAAAAAATAATGGATGTACATTGTTTTTTTAAATTTTTTTATTTTTTTTTAGAGTTTCTGTACATTATTGTGTGAAAAAATAATATGTGAAAGTGTGTTGATTTTTTTTTTAAAAACAATTAGTTAATTTAAATAGCATCACATATATATTTTTTTCATATCTAGTCTACTTGGACTAACTCAAATATCAGCTTTCTAATTTTTCATTCAACTAATTAAATACGAGTAAAAAAAACTCATGTTCATTACTAATTAATAACACTACCAAAAAATGTTGAAACTCAATAGACTTCGTTGGGTTGTCATTGATTTTTTTAAGAAAGAAAATCGACGCACTTTTGTCGGTTATTTTTCACGCAAAAATATAGGAAAACTCTTAAAAAGAATTGTTACTTTTTTATAAAAAAAACAATGATAATCCGTCAGTTTTAATTTTTACAATAATTAACGGATGATCGTCGATTTTTAAAATGCAAAATTGCAGTTGAATAACATATATAGAAATAAAGAAATCATAAAATTAGTATTTTGTTTTAAATGGTACATAAAAGAAATAGAGTTGAAGGGTAATCTTTTATTATTTTTTAAAAAATACTTTTTTTTTTGCCTTTCACTCTTTTAGAGAACTTGTGATGCACACTCTCTGCCACATCACTTAGAAGTGCCAAAATGAAACATAAAAATTGGAGTTGAAAACAAAGTTGAGTTGGAGTGTCAAAATCTGCATATGTGTTTGGCCTATTTAGAATGATGATGATGAGATTTGAAGCTTTTCTACTGTTTTGCAAATTGGTCAATTAGTCCCCAAACTATCATTTTTGACACATTACTCCAAAATTTAAGACGATCAATTATTTTTTTCCTCGAGAAGCATGAAAAATCTATAAAGATACACTAAGGCAGTATTATCAATTTTGATTTACAAGACTAATAACTACTCCCTTCGGTTCATTTTAGTTATCGTGCTTATATTTTCAATAGAAAAATTACAAAGAATAAAAACAATTCATGAGTAGTTTACGTGGACAGATCACAAATCCACCAACATGAGAAGTAAGGCATTAGATGAAAACGACCAACTAATTTTGGTGGCCCATGTGGACAGATCCACCAACTTTTTTTGTAGATACATTGAATGTAGACATTAGCATTGAGGACATTATGGAGTGATCACAATACACAGTGATATTATGATGATCAAGTTGATTGAGCAGGTGATCTCTTAAATAAAAGATTAAGATTCAAATTTTTTTGTATGTTTTCTCAATTGAGCTCATCGTATAATTTATCTCTCCTTTTGCAAATTGCATGACGTATGGGCAATGTCCTTGTCATCAAAGGTCATTTTCACAACACTAACACAAAAGTGGCAACATATCTACTAATACCAAATTCGTTGAAATTAGTAACACAATCTTATTTTACCAACAAAACAATAGAATGTGAAGTAAGATATAATGCTCATTCCATATTTTTAATCTTTTTAGACCAGTCAACTGGTATTGCATAGAGCTATATTATTGATATAAAATAGGTAGTATAGTTTAGAGCATAAAAACCAAATTGACTTGCATTAATATTTTTTTTAAAATGTAACTTACATATTATATTTTTTTCTAACTATAATAAATCATACTCGTGTTATATACTTAATGGTCAAGAAATTTAGTCAACAATAGAGCCATAAGTATAGGTTTGGCATGTTGATTGTTGGACCGATCCAACTCAAATCATTAGTTATAGAATTGAGTTGAGATTTTTTAATCTCATTTAAAAGAAAAAATTCAGGAGAATAATCATTCGATCATTTTACCAACCAAAATTAACCCAATTATAGTCTATTAGATTTTTGAATAAAAATATCTTGAACTATATCCAAGCTTTACTACACACCCTTAAACTATAAACATCCTCGAGGTATTCAAAATTTAGCAAGTTTCATCCTTTTTTTTGGGCACTATTTGCATAACATTTTTATGATGCAATCCCTTACTTGTTCTTGCATACATGGTTTTGTGCCCCCAATCCCTATAAAATCAAAGAGTTGCCTGGTGATTCTTAGGTTGTGCTCATGAAAATACGAAAATATAGTAAGAAATAGCTCAACAAAGTCTCTAGGTTTTTCTTCTTTTTTTGTTATTTTATTTGATGATTCTAATGTTCGGGTCAACTCAATTAATTTGACAAGATACCAATTTTTCTGGCTTTCATATTTTACGCCCTTGCTTTCATCCATTTGTTCACATTTCGTTCCGAAGGAATAATGCTACGTCTTAAACGAATCACAACTATGGACTCCTCCTTCCTTCGATTATTCACAACTCCCGCCATTTATGAATTGAATTCCTCCCTCCAAAAGCTGCAGGTGCAACCCACACACCACCACCTACAACAACTCATCCATTCTCATTTCTCCAATACAAATAACAATCCACATTCTTCACAAACATACGCCACACTCTTCCACGCCTGCGCCTGCCTTCATCGTCTCGACATTGGCCAAAAACTCCACCACCACTACACACTTTCCCATCACCAAATCCCACCACATCAACAACAACTCTACACCATCAATCATCTCCTTAACATGTATGCTAAATGTGGTGATCTAGAATATGCACACCACCTGTTTGATCAAATGCTCCACAGAAACATTGTTTCCTGGACTTGTCTTATTTCCGCCTACGCTCAATATGGAAACACTGATCAATGTTTTCGCTTATTTACCAAAATGTTAACTCATTATACCCCTAATGATTTTGCTTATGCTAGTGTTCTATCTGTTTGTGATACCAGTACATCGCGTGGTAGGCAAGTACACGCGCTTGTAATGAAAACAGGTTTTGATACGTGTGTTTATGTGTGTAATGCTTTGATTGCAATGTACTCGAGGAATAGTGGAAGTACGGAGGCTTGGAAGGTTTTTAATGATATGGAGTTTCGGAATATTGTTTCGTGGAATACAATGATAGCGTTGTTTCAAATATGTGGACAAGGTGATAAGGCTATGAGATTTTTCTCCTTGATGCATCGTGATAGTTGTTTGGGGTTTGATCGAGCTACTCTTGTTAGTGTACTTTCTTCTCTATTAGGACGGGATGAAATTGATTTTTCCTGGGGTCTTCGAAGTTGCTTTCAATTGCATTGTGTTAGTGTGAAAACCGGGCTTATACTAGATGTTGGGATTGTGACTGCTTTGGTGAAAGCTTATTCGATTCTCCAGGGAGAGGTTAGTGATTGTTACAAATTGTTTCTGGAAACAAATGGATGTCAAGATCTCATGTTGTGGACTGAAATAATTGTGGCGTTTTCAGAAAGGGATCCTGAGAAAGCTATTCTCCTTTTTGGTCAGTTGCTCCGAGAGGGGTTAAGTTTAGATAGTTATGCTTTTTCTATTGCACTGAAAGCTTGTGCGGGACTCTTGACAGATAGAAATGCCTTGATGGTGCACTGTAAAGTGATTAAATCTGGTTTTGTGGATGCTCTAGTGCTTGGAAATGCATTAATTCATGCATATGCAAGGTGTGGCTCAATATCTCGGGCCAGTCAGGTTTTTGAGGAGATGAGGTACAGAGATATAGTGACATGGAATTCCATGTTGAAGGCTTATGCATTGCATGGCAAAGCAAATGAAGCATTGGGACTTTACGGTAAAATGGATGTGAAACCTGATGCAGCCACTTTTGTTGCTCTGCTTTCAGCTTGCAGCCATGCTGGAATGGTGCAAGAAGGGATTCAAATTTTTGATGCTATGTTTGCAAAACACGGTATTGTTCCTCAACTTGAGCATTATGCATGTATAGTTGATATTGTTGGCCGAGCAGGTCATATTTTTCAGGCGGAGAAAATAATAAAAGAAATGCCCATGCAACCAGATTATGTGGTGTGGAGTGCATTTCTTGGAGCATGCCGCAAACATCGTGAATCTGGGCTCGCCCAAATAGCTGCATCTCAGCTGAAGGAGTTAGATCCAGAAAATTCATTAGGATATGTACTCATGTCTAATGTATACTGCTCAAACCATAGCTTCAATGAAGCAGGTCATCTTAGGAAGCAAATGAGAGGGCTTGGTGTTACAAAGCAGCCTGGATTGAGTTGGACAGATCTTGGTTGAAGGAGTTTTGATCCAGAAAAGTCATGAGGATATGTACTCATGTGAAATGTATACTGCTCAGCCCATAGCTGCGATGAAACAGGTCATCTTAGGAATCAAATGAGAGGGCTTGGTGTTACAAAGCAGCCTGCATTGAGTTGGACAGATCTTGGTTGAAGGAGTTTGATCCAGAAAAGTCATGAGGATATGTACTCATGTGAAATGTATACTGCTCAGCCCAATGAAACGGATCATCTTAATTCTTAGGAAGCAAATGAGAGGGATTGGTGTTACAAAGCAGCCTGGATTGAGTTGGACAGATCTTGGTTGAAGGAGTTTGATCCAGAAAAGTCATGAGGATATGTACTCATGTGAAATGTATACTGCTCAGCCCAATGAAACGGATCATCTTAATTCTTAGGAAGCAAATGAGAGGGATTGGTGTTACAAAGCAGCCTGGATTGAGCCGTTGGGGTTTTGGTGCATGAGTTTGCTTCCGGAGGCCTGCAACATCCGGACAGGAGAGATATACACTAATATGGAGTTCTTTGTGAAAGAACTGAAACATATTGGTTACATTATCACAAGAACAATATTATACCTAGTGTGATCCCACAAGTGAGGTCTGAGGAGGGTAGAGTGTACGCAAGACCAATCCTCCGTAGTTGAATCTGAATCGAGAACATGGACCAACATCTCAACGAAAGAGCTTAGATGTGGCAAATCAGCTGCCGTCCCTCAAAGAAAGGGAATCAATGAATCCAAAGCAAGGTGTGGAGAAGGCTTGGTTGAAGGCAAAATTTGGTGTAATTCGCGATTTTTTAAGAAAAGAAAAGCAGGTTAGGAAGTCTTGCTTACTTATTTCTCCATCTAAGTAAGAGAAGACCTTACCGCCACCTAGTGCGAGGTAGAGAGGCCGTTCCTGATAGACCTTCGTCTCAAGAAAAGCATTTTCAAAAACAGGTTTGAAAGATACAAAAGTGAAGAAGCGCCCAATGAAACTCCCGGAAAGTAGCATGACATACAAAATGCAGAAACAAGGAAAAACTTGTGACTATACAAAATGCATAAAAGAGGCACACTTCATGTCCGGATTGTGCACACTTGAAACGGCAAGGACTATGATAAATTCTGGTAATATTGATTCATTTCCTCTCTATGGCTTTCTAGCACAGATACTATTTTTTTAAAATAACTAGGCATTGTTGAATTGAGTGCAGCACCCAAGATTGAATATCCAAATGATTTCACAGCATTTGTTATCCTTGTTTCTGTATTTTGCTTACATTGGTCAATGATTTATAGTATTAGCTGGCTTATGGACCTCCAATATAGGGTATATTTGTTTCGAAAAGATTCTGAATCGCTACATGTATTAAACTATGAACACATTTTATCCTGCCTTGTAATTGATTGTTTGATTAATTGTGAACTGATGAATATTTTCAATTTCGCATGTTTTACAGAAGATAATAGCGTGCACACTCTCTCTGTTTGAGTTAATTTTTCACATACAAGGGTATTGACTGCTTGGCTTAGTACTTCCCTTCTTTTTCAAAGGGCGATTTGGTTTACATCAGTAGCTATGAAATTATGTTATAGAATAAACAGGTTCATGGTCAAAAAATGTACCACAGAACTCAATTATATGTGTTATAGATGTCATTAAACACAGATTGCATGGCTAAAAACTACAATAGAGTAAAAGTGAATTGTTATTTCAATGTGAATCATTACAGAAATAATAACACTAATCACTACTCTAATTGAACTGTTAAGATTAAGAATAATGTAGGCATTCATGTGTGGTGGGGTAGACTGAAGCTCTACAAAAAGGACATGTATCTTTCCTCTGCAACTAGGGGTGTGCACTATTCGGATTAAACCGGATAACCAAACCAAATCAAACCAAATTTATTTTGGATCGGATTGGGTTACACTTTTACAAAACCAAAAACCGAAAATTCAAACCGAATAGTGTAAAATCAAACCGAAAAATCGAATGCACACCCGTATCTGCAACCACTTGTGTTGTGGGATAAACTGAAGCTCTACAAAAAGGACATGTATCTTTCCTCTGCAACCACTTGTTGATGCATTCAGCATGAAATTTATGGCCACATTGAAGTGTGGCAATTGCATATTTATCTTTATATTCAAGCAAGCAGATAGCACATGCTTCTTGTTCCTCATCATCAGCAAATTGATCTTCCACCACCTCTTCTTCTTCTTCGTCTTCGAAATACGCAATCTCAATAATATCCTGTTCTTCCCCCTCTTCTTCTTCTTCATACTCCATTGCTGTTTCCATATTTTCAACTTCAACATTCTCCCCTGCTTCTATAAATATAAATTCTTCTTCTTCAACTTCATGAACAATATCACCAAGATTTGAATCCTCCAACAAACGAGGCAAGAAACTACAATCAATATGAGGCAGTTGTTCTAGTTGATTCAACAGAGAAACATTATAAAACCAGGGAGCTTGATCATGTTGAGACATGTTTCTTGACATAAAAATGACTGATTTTTGTTAGATTACGAGAAAAAAAAGAAAGTTTAGAATGGGAAATTATTGTTAATGTTAATGCATTTATAGGAAAAAAAATAGTTATAGGAATTTGATTCCAAACGGAAATTGAGAAATAGTTTCCTATAATGTTTCTTTTTTCCTTTTCTGGCTCCCCAATTTGTTTTTTTCCAGGTTTTAATTAATAAGAAAGAAAGTATAAAATAGGAAATTAATAGGAAAAAATATTTATAGGAATTTGATTCCAATAGGGAATTGGGAAATCGTTTATATAATTTTTTTTAAAAAAAATTCTTGCTTTCCCCCCAAGTTTCTAATTACATTTGACTCTTTTTTTTTCTTTTCTTTTTTTAAAGAATAATCACATATCAACTTCACCCTAATTTGCAAATAAGGATCTTGACACTTACACTTTCAAAAACATTAAATTACCTATCGAAACAAAAGGTAATATTCAAATAAAAATAAATTATACACAAGTTTAAAGAAAAGATATATATATTTAATTTTGTTTATGTGATATTTTGTATAAATTAGTTCTTATAGAAATATAAATAAAAGAATGAAAATAAACGTTTTTTTCCAATATTGGTCAACTTCTCAATTTTTTTTCTAAAGATAATCTAAATAAAATTAAAATAAATAAAAAGATGTAAGAACAATAAACTGCAACTCTCCCAGCATAATTGGATAAACATGATATTCTGTATTGATGAGACGGAATTTTTCTACAAATAAATGATACAATGGGAAAAATAATTTTTTTTATAACAAACGACACCAAAACTTCACATGCTAGAAATAAAAATGCTAATTATTTTGATGGAGTTGTGTTCAGTTCCTATTTTGAATTTTACCATATTTGTAGCTAATTATTAAAGAAAAGAAAAATAAAAGGAGATATTGTGCATTCATTTTATATCTAGAGTCAACGTTCAATTTGTTTTCACACTTCTGCCTGATATTATTGAGATTTTGAGATAGAGTGAGAAAAGAGTATAGAATCTCGGGTCATGCAATCGAAAGACAAAAAAATAGGAGTTCAGTGCCAAAAAAATAATAAAATTGATCAAAATTTCAAAAAGACAAACAAATTGAAGATGAAATCAAAAAGGCAAAAATGCAGGGTCCAATGCCTTTCATTTGACAACGATATGATGTCATGTGCTTTGTAAGGCACAAGTCGTCATGTGTCTTATTAGGCACGTGATATCATGTGTCTTCCTTCATCTGTTAACGCCGTTCCGTTCACATCGTCAAATGAAAGGGACTGGGGATTGCATTTTTGTCCTTTTGAAAATTTTGATTAATTTTATTGTCCTTTTGACTCCGAAAGTTGAATATGTATAACTAAAGAAGTTGTTGAATTACATTAAAAATCAGAATTCACTTAATTTTATAAGTATCCTTTCATTTACAAGTGTATATGACCAGGTTTGTTTGAGCATTCAATTTATAAATCAAATCAAACTAATCAAATTCGGGTTTTTCTGAATTTTTCAACCTCAATTTTTTTCGGATTGGTTTGGGTTTTTCAAATATCAAATCAAACTATTTGTGTCGAATTTTAAAATTTATAAATCAAACCAAACTAATAAACCTCGGATTTTTTTAGATTTTCAAATTTTTCTAGTAAAGTATTCATACAAACATATAATTAACTTGTGCTTCAAATATTTCTTTAGTCCAACCAAAATACAACTATCTAGATGTTTCTTAAGAAAATAACATAAATTATGAGATAAATGATGACATTAAAATATTTAACAAATAATAATAATGAAATCATATAAAATAAATATCGTAAATTATTAAGTTATAATGAAAATGATCAGTGTCAAGCAGTAGAAATGTAAATTGATCAATATATTCCTTTAACAAATTCAGATATCAGTGGCGCTGACAGCTCAAATCACAATCCAAACATGTTCTATATTAGATAAATGTGCAAGTCTCACATTCTAATAGAGTATAATGGTAACTTTTATGAGGTGAAAATTTCATATTTATTTGATATATTATTGTAGTTTATGTCGTGAAAGGACATATTAATATGCTAAATCATATTTACCTTGTAAGCTACTTCTTTCTAAATAAAAAAATTATTATTTAAATTATTAATATGTGTTATTATACAATAACGACAAATAATACAGTTTATCCAAATATTGATTTATTAAAGTAATATAACATAAATTATGAAATGATACATAAAGACTATTGTAGACATTGAAATTTTGTAGACTCTACAAGACGTTTTAATTCGAGTTGGACTTTACAAGGTATATTCAATTCAAATAAAAATTCTTGGAGGCTACTCAACCCTAAACCCTAGTTCATACCTATATAAAGGGTACTATATTCCCTTGAAATAAAGACATCTCAAATATTTCACAAAATTCATGGAATTTATATCAAGAGATCAAATTCAAATCATCTTAATTCGAGAAATATGCCACTAACGACCTTCAAATTATGAAGATCAAGTCCAAATCATCCTAGTTTGAGAAATACGCCACTAATGACCCTCGAATTATGAAAATCAAGTCCAACAAATCATCTTAATTCGAGAAATATGCCACTAACTGTAACGACCGGTTTCCGTCGTTATAGAAAAGTCAACGGGGAAAAAAAATTTGGGCCAAAAAACTTTTTCGTAGTAACTTGGGATTTCTCAATCTAGTCCAGATTTGGACGAAATCGGAGTAAGTAAGGTCTAGGAAAATCTTGTAACAATTGGGTGGTTTAATTTTGATTTTGATCACATGAGTAGATAGCTAAGACATTAAGGGACCCGTACGACTTTACGGAATTGAATTCGGGTGAATAGAACTCCCAAAATTGATCTTGGTGTGAACGGGTAGTTTTTGAGTGTCGTTGGTCGAAGGTGTGTTGTGAAATTGGGGTATTGAAATTATTACAGTTGTTCAATGGTTCCGTGCAAGCCACTAAGGCGGGATTTTTCCGCCAGGGCGGGGCTGCTGCAGCGGGGTGAGTACCGTTGTGGCAGGACAGTCGCGAATTAAATCGGAAATAAACCCCAAAAATGTTTTATTCTGCACTTTTCGACTTTGAGAGTTAGGAGACGACCCCAGGTGCTTTCTTGACTGTTTTTCACCATTCTTAAGGCTAAAGGTAAGGTTTTAACTTCTCGAATCCATTTTCGATCCGTAGAACATAATTTAATGTATAATTATCGATGTGAAAGGGTTTTGATCTGGAAATTATGGTGAAAAAATCCCTAATTTGGATATTGGGATCATGGGTTTGATCTAGGGTTGATAGGATTGTTGGTAATTCGGGTAATTAGTTATTATTTATTGATTCCCGTGTTATATTAATTATTTGTAGACCAAGAACAAGCGGAACGAATCCGGGAAAAGGGGAAGAATCAAGTTTCTTAAGGGATTCAAGCTTTGTTTGAGGTAGGTGATGGTTGTGATTTCATGTGGTGTGATGCATGTTTGTTCTTGCTTCATTATAATACGTGTATGTATGTGAATGTTGCATTATTGATCACACTAATTGTAAATAAGGATAGATGAATGATGAATGTCATGAATCATGACTTGATTGTATGATTATGAGAATGTACTTTGTTATTGTGATTGTGGCTTGTTGAATGGATCGGGTATTGCATTCTGACACACTAACTTGGATCGGTTTCCATGTTCCGGCATAAACATGAGATCAGTTGCCACATTTCAGCATAAATATTGGATCGGGTACCACGTACCGGTACGCTAACAGTTTAGGTGTGGGTTCCATGATAGGACCATTGATTGGACATAACTGTGATATTTGAGAATTGTGAAACTGTTCGTTGTTCGTAAATGATATTGATATTGTATATGTTTGGTGTATGCATGTTATTATTGTGTTGTAATGACTTATGTATGTTGCACTTATTGGGATAGCCGCGTGATCCTACCAGCTGCACTTGCTCTTTCTTTGTTGAGTACAGGGTATCTTCCGGCGGCTATTGACATGCCTCGCTTAGAAGATCAGTGATCGTTCAAATTCAAGGGTGAGTCAGTTCTTCCGGGTTGCCATGAGTTCTCTTTTCTGTCTACGTCCACATTTCGGACTTAGACTAGTACTTTAGTTAGTCTTATGTTTATTTTGGGGTTGCACCCTTCTTGTTTAGACTTATGGTTGAACTTTAGATGTTTTGGTACATTGACTTTCATGTTTTAGGCGTTATTTCTGCAATGTTAGTTTGGTTGTTAGACTTTTGTTGGAGTTTATGGGAACTCTCTATCTTTTCCTTAGCATTTAAACCTGCTTTTGCATCTTTAAATGTCTTAGTTGTTTGGTTCGTTAGTTAGCTAATTAGTATTAGTGGTTCTCCCACCGAAGGGTTAGTGTGGGTGACAGGGTCGTGACAAAGTTAGTATCAGAGCCTAGGTTCGTTGATCTCGATGTACCAGAACGAGTCTAGTAGAGTCTTGCCGAACGGTTATTAGAGACGTCTATACTTTTTCTTCAAGAGGCTATAGGACTTTAGGAAATCTCTTTGTTTCTCTTGTCTCCTTTCGTGCTATAACTTGATTTCAATTGGTATCTGGCGATTCAAATTGGTATCTAACCTCATTCACTCTTCTGTCCGCAGATGGTTAACACTAGGTTCAACAACGTTAGGCCCATAGCTCCCGTCAATGCTCCAGCTGAGGAATCTGCAGTGAGAGTTCGCGGTTGAGGAAGGGGTAGAAGAAGAGTTAGGAGTAGATGTCGAAGAAGGGTGGCGCCTACTAGGGATGGAGCACCGGTTGGAGATGCTCTAAGAAATGAGTCCCCTCCTGCGCATCATGAAGAGGTAGAGGAAAACATAAAGGTTGAGAATAATGAGGTTGTTGGACAAGAGGAATAGGTGCATACTGAGACTACAAGTATTCCTCCCATAGACTTAGTGTTAGCTCAACAGATCATGTCGTTCTTGAAAGGATTGGTTGGTCCTGGAGTGCTTCCCTCTG